TTCCCTGCTGCTTTGTTCTGGATCGTGTGACTTTGAGTAATTTTAGGCTAAATTCAGTGTCATAATATCAAAGCTGTTGTTTAGTTAACAATAATTGACATTATAGATGGGGTAATTCTCCACAATTACTCCCTGGATCCTGTCTGATTGTTCAAGAGAACCTTTCATAACTCAAATGAGTCCATTTGGGCCAGTCATACACTTGTGCAAAGCAATTTTGGAGGAGGATTAATCCCAGAGTAGTATCATCTGCACATTGGGAATGCATGTGTTGCTTAAATCAGATGCATACTCACAGAGATATATCTAGTCAGTGAAGAAGAGCAAAATCCATTTCAACAGAATGGAATCCAAAAGGCACAGGGCAATTAAAATCACCAGAACATTGGTTCTCAATTTGTCACGTAGGATGATATTATTCCCTGGGCTTCCTGTTACTCTCCCTGTGAACCCTCCCAAAGCAGGCATGCTTCAGCTGAAGCAAAGTACAGCCTGCTGCACTTTTTCACTTGAAGGTTTTGCTCGTGAGATCTAGAGTCCACAGCCTTCAAGGTGTGGGGTTGCAGGAGTGGTCCTTGTGGAGTTTGAATCCAGACTTTCTTGTTTGTCAGGAAAGTCATAGGAATTATTTCAAGCTACAAATGGGGTGTGTCTTCAAGTGACCTTTAAAGTACAGTTCTGCATTGAAGATGACCTGGAAAAAAATAACACCTCTTTTCATGTGTTTTTCTTAATTTTTAGTACTCAGGATCTGATCTGCTGAGCCCAAATGCTTTGTTAAGGCTTTTAAATGACACTTCCTGCAGACCCAGCATAATTAAGAGAGATAAAGAATGAGATTCTTGTCTCCTTATAAACACTTCATACAATAGCTCTCCAAGTCCTAGTCAGGGACAGCTGCAATGCGCTGGAGATGAGAGAAGTGGTCTTTCTTTGCCTACAGTTTTCTATTTGTGTTCAGAAAAATGAGGAAAAAAAAAAAAACCCAACTATTTCGCCCTGACTCTGCCAGAGCAGGAAAAATGGAGAGCGTGCAGTAGTGGCAATTAGAAAAAGATGTATTTTATTTAGTGTTTTTACAGAAGTTTCCACACATTTATAAAGCCATGGGAGCTCAGTGATTTTATGCACTAAGGAAGGGGAGTCGCATAGCCACACGTGAAGAGATTTTGACTCACTCATAAATGAGGTTGGCTGCATGTCATTGTAAATATAATATTTAGGTCTATACTCTCCAAACATTCACAAGTAGTTTACTGATATGCTTAAAGTTAAGAGTACGCACAAGTCTTTGCATGAAGCTGGGATCAACCCTGTATGTTGACAAAACAAACTTTACATTTTAAGAAGCATGTTGGGAATCTGTTCAAGATTGTCTAGCAATTACCAGAACTGACAGTCACTGATTGTGTCTTCTCTTAATTTCCTGCCTTTCTTTTTTGGACTGAGTTTAGTCATCAGACCCTCCCTTTCCTTGTAGCATTCTCTTCCAGGCAAGAGCTGCTTGTGTGGATCTCTTCTGTTCCTTTACTTACAAGGGGTTTTCTTTTTATTCCACAGATTAGGACTCACAGATGCCTACCAATGGTAAGACACTTTCTTGGTCTACAAGATGTATTTCTTCTCTTGAGACTTTTTAAACAACTGTTTCATTATTTCAATCCTGTTCTTGAGGGGATGTTTCTTGGCCCAGTTGCCCTGCCATCACTGCCAGTCTAAATGGAACAGCCAGTTCATTTAAACAAAGTTTAATCTAATTCTGCTTAGTTTATCTTCCCAATTTGTCCACTCACAGCACAGGTCATTCCTTTCAGGATTGCATGAAGTGGATTAATTTACAACCCATCCATGATTTTTGATATTAAATCATTAAGCTGTGTTCCATGTTGAATAGATTCTGACCACCATCACATGAGATAAACAGGTTACAGAACCACAAGCAATTTGTGACCTTTAACAAGTCTATGAATATAAACTCCCTTTGCAATTGACAGGGCAATTAGGTCGAAAAATTTTCCCTAACAAAGCAGTTGAAGCAATTAAAACTGTCCTGCTAAGGAGACAGAACAACCTTTGAATTAACGGTTTAGCCTGTCAAAATGATGGAAGGATCTTAGTTTTCCTTTTGACAAGTGCTTTTTGGTATGTAGTTTGTAACAACTATTGAGAGGTGATAGTATGGAGAATTTTAAATTTAGAAGAGTACATTCAAATACTCTGCAGTATTTGGAATGATCATTAGGAAAACTGCCTTTAAAAAAAGCAGTTAGTGTAGGATTCTTCACTCTCCTCTTCCCACAGTATGAAATCACTTAGGAACAGCCCAGTGCATGGCAGAACTTCACATCATCTATTTGCAAACAGGGTGAATCATAGAATCATAGAATGTTGAGAGTTGGAAGGACCCACAAGGATCATTGAGTCCAACTCCTCTCCCTGCACAGGACAATCCCAACATTCACACCATGTCCCTGAGGGCCTTGGCCAAATGCTGCTGGAATCTTGTCAACCTTGGTGCCATGAGCACCTCCCTGGGGAGCCTGTTCCAGGGCTCCACCACCCTCTGCCTCAAGAACCTTTTCCTCATGGCCAACCTCACCCTCCCCTGCCACATCTTCCTGACATTTCCTCTGCTCCTGGCATTCGTTGGTGGCCAGAGAGAAGAGCTCAGCGCCTGCCCCTCCTCTTCCCCTTGGGAGGAAGTTCTAGACCACGATGAGATCTCCTCTCAGTCTCCTCTTCTCCAGGCTGAACACACCAAGCGACTTCAGCCTCTCCTCACACAGCTTCCCCTCTAAACCCTTCCCCTCTAATGTTGTGTCCCTCCTCTGGACACTCTCCAGGAGCTTTAGATCCTTTTTATCCTGTGGTGCCCAAACTGCCCCCAGTGCTGGAGGTGAGGCCGCCCCAGTGCAGAGCAGAGCGGGACGATCCCCTCCCTGGCCCGGCTCATGATCCAGTGCTGGATGCACCCACGACATGAGTGTCCCTCTTGGCTGCCAGGACACACTGTTGGCTCACGTTCAACTTGCCATGGACCAGAACCCGCAGGTCCCTCTCAGCAGGGCTGCTCTCCAGCCTCTTGCTCCCCAGGCTGTGTGTCCAGGGTTGCCATGTCCCAGGTGAAATGAAATGTCTTCCTTTATTGTTTGTGTTCATGGGCCAGAATACACCATATCACTTCATCTGAGGGAATGATTATCCTGACCAAGGATGATCACTTGTGTGGTTAGATGCTGAGATATAGCCTCAGGAAGTCTGGTGTTCAGTGGCAGAGCCTTCCAGCACTGCTAAGATAGCTCAGCCTTGCCTCATGCCTCACTCAAGAGAGAAGATTAAGACATTGTCCATCAGCCATCTGCATTTTCGTGTGACATGTGGCAGTCACATTCTGGAAATTCTTTCCCCCTGTGATCTTGTTTTGGAGACTCTTTCCTCCTCTATTCCCACCACTCCATCACAAATGATGTAACTTCCCAGACAAGATTAAAACTGTTGTTACCCCCTGCCATAGCAGGGTCTGGTGTCCTAGGAAGGTGCAGGATGAGAGTAATCCTGGATGCTTCTGCACTACAGTCCAGAATCTGCCAGGTAGGTGGTTTGCCAGCATCCATCTTTTCAGTGGAGATGGCAGGAGAGACTGAAATTAATCTCCTCCAATTTAGTGATTGAATTTAGTCTCCAAAGCTGGCTCACAAACTCCTTGAAGAACAGTTGAGTCATTCCTTTTTTAAATAGAATATTTACTGACTTTAGAATGGGCAACTGTTTGAGATATGGTCCCTTTTGAAATCCCTTATATATTGTTTTATCTCTGTTTCTACCTGTTTTCTTCTCCCACTAAACATAAGGATGTTGTGGGGGTTGACTGCTTCTAGGACAGCTTCAGGAGTGCCTTGTTTGTGGGAGTACCATTGGGCAAAGAGGCAACTGACGGTCAGAAATACTGTTGTGATTCTGCCTATTCCTACCTCTTAGAAAGCTTTTTAAATAAAATAGATAAAAGGATATGGTCAAAGTCCTCTGAATCTTCTTCAGCTCACTACATCTTTCCTGTTGGGCATGTTTCTTTCTGTAAAGAATATGAGTTGCAAAAGTATTTGGCTTGATTTTGCAGAGTTATCTTATTTTCACACTCCTTCCTTTGAATTGTAGATAGAAAAAAGCTCAGTGCTGTAGATACTGATCTTGCCTAGATTTAGAGAGGTCTATGGAAGTGAGGTGAGAAAGTTGGGTGATTAGAGTTTGCTCTGGGAAGTCAGTTGATTTCTCTGTGACCAGGGAGTATTGAGAATATTGCTTTGCAGACAGGGATTCTGGTCCTGTTTGCAGCCTCCAGGTGCCAGCTCAGCATGAGCAATAACAAAGCAGATAACTTCATAATGAACGTGTCCCCAGTACCATCAGCTTGAGCAGCATTTCAGATGGTCTTTCTACATGTAAGGCACCCATTTCCTCACTCTGATTACCACCATGGGCATCAGTGGAGAAGATGGCTTCATCCTGAGCCCTTTGCAGTCCAGGTACCTTTCTGATCTGTTATAATGCTGGTAGCAGTACACGGTGGCAGAGCAGGTGTTATCTGCTGTCTTAAAATGGATATTACTATGTTACCTTGGCCTTGCTCCTGCTCTAGGTTGAGCAGATTGAGCTGTGTTGGGCTCTTGAATTTATAATTTTCTTTGAAGCTTGAATGCCAGAGCGTTCTGTTGGGTCCTTGTGTGGCAAGGTACAAAGTAAGAGTTGGACTTCAGAAAAAAAACACTAGTGGTGACCCACTTGCAGTCTGTGGCCAATTCACATCATCCTTTAGCCTCCTTCAGAGCCCAATGAAAACAGGTAGCCCATCACTGTCCTTGGCAGACACCTGGTCCTCTTACTCCGGCGTTGGGGAGAAACCAGAGCACTGTGCTGGGTCATACAGAAGCAGGCAGAAAGTCGGTGCTAAAGTCACTCAAAATGTGCTCAAAACCCATTAGTATCATTGGGAATGTTTTAGATTGACCTCCTTGAATACTTTTTGTGTAGATTCCAAAAATAATTGTATCAGGACAGAAGCTATCTGAAACCAAAGGCAGCATTTTACTCTGCATCAGAACCTGGCGATGCTTTGCATGTTTATTTCAGGAAACATTCAACAAAACAGACTTTCAGATGTCATTTCACTAGTAGATTTTCATGACCCTCATTTTTTTTTTCCTTTTTTTTTTTTCCAGTAGCATATTCAGCTTCATGGACTGCAATATCTTTGTTCTTTCAGCCTTACTTTTTTCAAACTGGCTGCGGAGGCTTCAGTGTAACAAGAAGGTTACATAAAAGATCAAGATTGTATTTGTTTTGAAAGGAGACTGAAAAGAATACAATTCTGCTTATAAATGGTCACTGAGAGGCACTGATCTTCATAGTGCCTTGCCGTGCAGCACAGGAGCTCATGGTGATGATAAAAGGCTATAGATTTTTAAAAGGATAAAAAGAAATGCTTTTCTAAGTTGGCACATAACAAGCTTCTGGAATTCATTGCCGGGAGATGTTGTTGCAGCACATACTTTAGTAAGATTCAAATCTCTAAAGAACTACCAGGTCCAGAACATGAACTCTGGGGCTACCTGGGGTCGCAGAAACTTATTTCCCCCATGGAATAATGTTGCCCAGTCTCCCAGTTGCCAATGGAGGACTCAGCTCTTCTCTTAAGTATGAACTACTAGGGGAAATAGCTAGACTAGTTCATGACTGTTTGAGGTGAGACAAGTCCAATGTCTGGAGATTATTGAATGAAGAAAAACCTCAGGGAGCATTTTCCAGCCTAATGGGAATTTTCTGTTCATCTGCAGGCAGTTACTTTTTCTTTCATCTGGGAAGAATGGAAAATTTCTCAATTCCTTTGCTTCTTCTAAGCACAGTCATCAGAAAGGATTCTCAGGCTTGATCCTCAGCACATTTAATTCAATGGACTTTTTCCATTAACTTTAATGGGTTTTGTTTCGCTCCTTTTGCCAAAATGGCTTCTCAAAGTGCTTTGAGATCTACAGATGAAAGCCCTGGATAAGCAAGGGTAGAATTTATTATTATTGTTCATCTGGAAGAAGCTGAGTTATTTCATCTCCTTACAATGACTTTATAAACTCTGTTGCCAGCAGAAGGGGATAAAAGATGCTGGGCTTAGTCTCAGCTGTCTTTGCACAGGCTGAGATACGCTCCTAGATGTCCTCAGAAATGTTTGTGCTATTATTTATATTACTGGTCTCAGCTAGAGTTGTCACCAACTGGTTTGCCAGTTCTGCTCAGAACTACTGAGCTGGTGCAGATTGATCTGCCACGGCCAGCACCCATATCCCTCACATTTATGAGGTCTTTCCTATTTCACAAGTCACCACCCTCAGCATCAGATCTGCCCTTCATCTTCCTTTCCAACCCTTGGAAAGCTGCTAAGTGGAGCTCCCCAGGGGTGTTTCCCACTGTATTGGTGGAAATTCAAGTTCATCTTAGTACAGTCTGTATGAAGGGGATAGAGATGAAGACCAGCATGCTGTTGCACAGCCTACATGTTCATATCCTGAGCATAATCTTTGTCACACAGTGTGGGGTGG